TATATATATATATATATAATATGTCCTAAAATCAAAAATACATTTGTATTTGGCTAGAATCGAACCTGGACATGAACAGAACGCTTATTTCAAACTGTGCATTTTAAACTATTATCATTGTTTTAACATATTTCATATTTTGATGTCCAAGATATAGGACTCTATTTTATATAAGGCTGGCTCTTACAATAAAAATTTCGCTTACTCCTTATTTAAATAATTATTTAAAAAACATACCTCATCTCGTTTCCTGGTGTCGAGGTTCCGGAACATATATTCCATCTCATCAAGTAGACTCTGTCCAAAGTCATTGCAGCTTTTCTATTACAAATAAATTCCATTATTTCATTTCAACGAATTCAATTGCCTTAATCTATACTTCTATACTAATATTATAAAGAGAAAAGATTTGTATTTTTAGATTTTTGGATTTCTGTATGTATTCGATTCACATAAAAACTACTAGACCGATATCAAAAATTCTTTCACCATTAGAAAGGTAATTTATCTATGAGTAATAACGGCTGTGTTTTTTTTTTAATTTCACGTGGGCGAAGTTGGAAATAATAAACCCTAGCAATTAATAATCACTAAAAGTCTTATTAATAATGGTAATAAAATAAACATACCGGAATTCCAGGACTGTCGGGTATCGCTAAATTATCGCCTTTCATCCATTCTGCCGCTGCACCTTCCTATAAAAAATAACTATGATTATATGCTCACATGTATAATTTTTAAAAAAAATAACATAGTATATGCCTTATATAAGATCTTTAGGCATAACAACAAAACCTAATAATTTAATATTATGATTCAATAAATTATTAATGAAGATGAGATGCAAGGAGACTTTATCTCACTTAGAGTTATAATAATTACCTATTCAGTGTTGATTTATTAATGCAACTCAGTGGCTACTTAGTGAATTCGAGTTCAATGAAATACCCTTAGAAACTTGCACTAATTACTGTTAGGATCAAACATGTATGTGTACAAGGTGTTTTTATACAAGGTAGCCAACGAATTTGGAACCACCTTAATTCGCTGTAAAAACGCAGCGAATGTTGTCCATAGATATCCCCAATTGCAGGTGCGTTGTTTACCTTCAATTGACAGAGCAAGAGACGCACATAAAGAGTATATTTCTCTTTCCTATCTTCTACTATCAAATCCGCTTTTCCTTGTCCATCCTTCCCTTATTAGAAAAGGGTGGAATGAGAAAAGGACTCATCAGAATATAGACTGAATTGCTTCCACTTCACTATCTTGTATGGGGTAGTATCCCGTGTGGAGAGACGGCCCTACATTGCGAATATGTTTAAGCCGATTCTACCATTGGTCCGCCCGTTCTAGAGATAACGCTCCGGTCGCCATTTTGTCAGCGTGGAATTTAAAAAAAAAATAGCCTATATTATGCCCGTCAGTGTCAGCTACCCTTCAGTGAAAGTCCCGTTAAAATTAGCCCAGTCGTTTCGGAGATTACCCGGAACAAACGCGGCTTTCGGACAGATAGACAGACAGACAAAAGATTTTCTTTTGATATTACAGACACTCCAATTTTATTATATGTATAGATATATAGATATAGATAGATCTTACCGTGTCAGTGTCAGATATTTCATGATACTCGTGAACCTCGCTGCCGGAGCACGTGCAAACCGGCTGGACATCCTCGTGCTTCTGAGAACGGCCCAGTGATGCGCTTCTCACCTGGAATTGTTTTATTGAATCTTATTTATTTATATAAGTATACACAACAGCTAATTTAATCACACAATTACATAGGAAAATAGAACGAGTAAACATAAAACAGATAAATTAGCCCACAAGTGCATGACTACATAATATGAAACACTTTATTAAGGTTTATTTTTCTAAGTACATAAATTCTACTTAGTACTTTCATCTACAATTTTACTATATTAACTACTTCTATATGCTAAGACGCCTACATTCTTACTAATATTATAAATGCAAATGTATAGATGGATGTTTGTTAAAGTTTGTAGCCTGCTGCATTCAGCAGAGATCCATTGATTTCGATGATATTTGGCATAGATGTAAACGATAGTGTAGAAGAACATATAGGGCATTTAGTTTTGTTTTTTATAATCCCATGCGGACGGAGTCGCAGGCGAAAGCTAGTTAATTATAAAACATTATAAATCATACTAATATTATACATACGAAAGTTTAGATGGATGGATGTTTGTTAGTTTGTAGCCTAAACTACTGAATGGATCTCAATGATATTTGGCATAGATGTTGAGGATAGTCTACAAGAACACATAGGCAATAAAGTATTAATAACCAAGAATAAAATTATTTTACCTTATTTAAAATACTCTTGCTTGTAGATGGTTCAGAGAGAGACTTAAGCTTGCTCTTTTTGGGACTTTTGTGCTTCTTATCAGTGTCTGAAAAATGAAGTGAATACATAGATAAATGCACTTAAGTAAATACGATTACTTGGTTTTTTAAAAAAGAACATACATGACAAGTCAACTTCGTCGCGGTCGTTTCTACCTTCGCTGTATGTGGCTTTTAAAATAGGATAAGGAGGCATACACATTGCTCCGGATAAGTGAGATGGTGAGTTGGGATTCAAAAGTGGCACTTGTTCTAAATCCTCCGATGGTTTGTACTGTGTAAGAATTTGACCTGATGTCTGAAAAGGAAATTAAAAAATAAAAACAAATATTTCATTGTAATAACATAAGCAAGACACTAAACAATTATATTAACAATTATATTAATAAAAAATTAAAGACGTCTATTTATTTATCTTTGATAAAACTGAAACAACAATTTGATTGTACAGTTTTTGTAATATATAAAACATTTATTGCTTTATTACAATGTAACCATACCTTTACACACATGATGCAGTAAACAATATTATAACTTATTGAACCCAAAATACCGTAAGCAATGATTTTTTAGAAAGAGAATAGAAAAAAAGACAAGCATACGTACACACAAAACATAGGCCAGATATTGACTTATACTAATTTAATCACTTATGTGTATACATTTTTTTTATTATATCAAAAAGCTAAGAATGTTTTTACTTTAGGGAATATTTAAAAGACTTGCGTTTGTTCAAACAATCCCTGTAGTTGCATTTTTCTAATTGTACAATGTAGTTCCTAAGATTATCTATAAAGAATAATTAAAGCCTTAAAAACAAATGACCAATGGCCAGCATAAATAAAGTAGTGTAACTCACAAGAATAATGAAATAAAGCGTTGAAAATAGAATGGTCAATGTTAAATAATGTATTTACTTACACAAGCTGGATCGAGGAATGATATATCGCCGAAAGAAGCACCATCAACCCCGACGTGTCCAGTATGCTTCACATCACCTTGAGGACTGGATATCATACTACATCGTAACGTTTTCTTGCCAGTGTACGTATGACGTTTGACGTCAGAACGTGATAACGCGGACTTTCGCGTTCCCTTTCGTGCCGAAGGTAATGACCCAGGTATAGCTTGCTAAGTGCACGAAAAACTATAGTTACGTGTCGTCTAGTGAATGCATAGAAAATGTTAAAACACACGATTTACAAATTACTAACCCGTTTACAACTTTTACATCTCACCTCTATCAAAATGTTAGAGTTGTTCAAACTTAGTTCTTACATTTAATGGAAAATGATCCCTAGTATTAGTAGTAATTAGTTTTATATGACAAACGATATGTTATACTACCCTAAGTTTAAATTTTTTCCCAAACCAGCATTAGTAATCAATATTTAGCAATTTCTTAACAAACACTTCAAGCTTTGAAACTAGTTTCACATCCCTATGTATTTTACAATTTTTAGATGCATCATCCACTTGCCCTTATCCCTTATGGAGGGTCGGCACAGTATGTGCTGCTCTTCCATACATCTCTATCAGCCGTCATATCTGAATCCACTCCTTTCTTATGCATATCCTCTGCAACACAATCCATCCATACTTTCTTCGGCCTTCCTCTACCTTTGTAGCCATATACATTCAATCTTACACTTTTTAGATGCAATAAAAGATTAATAATTTGCAAGTTTAAGTTGTAACTAGCTGTTCCCGTGCGGCTTCTTCCGCATGGAATAATAAAAAACTTTATTATATTGTTTACATTTGTTAAATACTCGATTGCAAAATGCATTATCAATATTACTGTTAACATAAGAACCTTACTTCCTTAACATTGGCAGCTTGTAGTTTATTATTAAGGTTTTTTTCAATTTATTTACCACCTAAGTTTAACAGCGGGAAAATATATAGCCTAAAGCGTGTCGTAAGTGTAGGGCTTTTTATTAAAGTAAGAATTATTCAAAAATATGCTGTGATTGCTAACATTCTACGCCACAAAGTAGTGTGTTTACGCTATATTATATTAGTTAGTATAGATATTAACACATGCAAATGTAAGTAAAACCAATACCCAATCAATATGTACCATTAAACATAAACTAGTTAGTCAAAAGTGACATAATTAACAAACTAAAAAGCACTAATATTCAATATTGCATACCTCTGGTTGTATATAAGGTTCTGTATTATTGTGGTCGAACACTCCACAGGTACCCGTAGGCAGTGCACCATACCACATTGAAGATTTTGTAAAATTCCTGAAATATAAAGTATAAAAATGCCTAGAGCTTAGTTGAAAGGGTAAAGAAAATATTACTAAATCAACAAAAAACTACTGTTATTTAAAAAAATATATACTAAGACAAAAACACACTATTAACAATATTCTTACTCTTTTCCAAGCACTGTTATAACTTGACCAGCTTTATATTCAAGAAAGTTACATCGCCTGCCATCTTGTGGTTGGATGAAATCGGTGATTGCTATAACCTGCAATAAATATAAAATTGTTGATTTTCATAAAACGAACTTTTATGAAGGTCTGATGAGCAGTTTATTTCTACTTAGAGATATATCAACTTAAAATTCCTCTGGTATCATGATGTTAACCTTTGAGTTTTACTTTTTTTTTTAAACCTACAATCTAGCGCAAGAAAGGCGACATTGCCGATCTCAGAATTTGGCAGCCACTATCCGCTCTATCCGCTTTAATCTATACTAATATTATAAAGAGGAAAGATTTGTATTTTTGTATGTATTGAAAAAACTCAAAAATTAATGGGCCATTGGGGTAATTTCAAAAATTCTTTCACCACTAAAAAGCTACGTAATGAGTAACATAGGCTATATTTTTTAACTATCAGCGAAGTCAGGTTCAACAGCTAGTTTATGATAAAAATATACCACACAAACCTGGATTGGTTGTATTTCACGTAACTTTGTCTTTAGTTCTTTAAACTTGGGTCTAGACTTTGGGTCATGAGCCCAACATTCTAACATTGTGGAATAATAGGCATCGGGGCAAAATTCGGGCCTTTCTAATCTCTGAAATAACAAAATTAACAAATGTGTCAAATAGTAGCATTAGAAATACGTTTACAATAAACTGTTTCATTTAATTAAATGTTCTGATTTTGTATTTAAAAAAGCCATTTAAGTAAGCTGTATTTTAATTAATTTTAGTAAAAACCAAAACGAAGACGAAGGCCAAATTTTATAAATTTCATCTTTGTTTCTTTCCATAGAATAGAAGATATGATGGCATTATATATACATAATATAAAACACAATTACATAATAAGTACATAACATATGATCTGGGAGAGAGAGCAGTGCATAGGAACTTACCTGAAAATTTGGTTCATCTATTGCTTCTAGAATCTGATGTCCTGAGAAAGCCGCCCACGGTTGAAAACCGTAAGTAAACATCTCCCAAAGGCAAACACCGAATGCCCAAACATCGCTAGCCGAGGTAAAACGTAAATATAAAATGCATTCTGGTGCACACCTAAAATGTCATATGCATAATAAATTATTTATATCTTCTTATTCTTCTCGGTAAATACATCTCAAAATATATCTTTTTTATAAATACAAAACTGTTTCGCGTATAAAATCGATAATTTTGAAACGAATTCAATTTAAACATCAATGGTTTTAATAATACTGTGATCACATAATAATTAAATTATTAATTTATAAATTTTGTTTATTAATTTGAGAAAAATGACATGTACTAACCAGGCAACAGGTAATTTGAGATTCACATTGTAATTAGTTTGGTAATAGTCCTTGCCAACGCCCAATGCACGCGATAAGCCGAAATCAGATATTTTTACTTTAGTTTTACTAAATACTAGGATATTTCTTGCTGCTAAATCCCTGAAATAAAACTTAGACACTTAGAACCTGTCCCGTCACTGGCTGATAGAGGCTCAGATAGTTAAAAAATGACGTCACTATCAGATAATGGAACAAAATCCGATTTACCATTACATATCTTATACATAGATTTTTATCAGACAAATTACAATTTGGTGGGACAGGCCCTTAATTTTTTTTAAAACACATTACTTATACTTTCCACTAATCAAACTTATTTGACCAAAAGCCAAAACATTATCTTAGAACAAAACAGCCTTATGACTATAAAAAATTAAAATGCATAGATCTTGATTTAGTTAGTAGAAAAAAACTTGAAACAGTCTTATTTACCATAAATAAAATCAGTGGCTGTCTGGCGCGTTCAGAGCCATTACTTGAATACTATGGAGTCTGGCAGCAGTTTTCTCATATTAGTTATATTACACAGTAAGAGAAACTACTTAACAACTCTGAGTGGTAAGATAAGAATAACACCAACCTATGAATCAGTCTTTTGTTTTCTAGATAAGTCATGCCATCACAGATTTGTTGCGCGAAGTCGCAAAGATTCGATACGTGGAAGCTTGTACGAAGAGACACCTCGCGGAGGCACTCTAGAAGGGAACGGAGTGGGGCCAACTCTGTTACCTGGAATAGAATAAAATCTCTACTTAGAGGGAAACAAGTAATTTGTTATGTAACTTAAGTTAACACACTCTTCAACATTAGTAACTACCAGATGAATGAGATAAAAATGAAACAAAACACTGCGATCTAATATGCCATAAACAGTGGTAGAGCCCGCTTTAACATCTTCACACTGCAGGGCCGGCTCGCCCAGTGCAATACCATGACCACACAGAAAACAAGCGTGAAGTGGAAGCAATTCCGAGTACAGTCTGGTGAGTGTGGTGCAGGAGGCCTAATTATAGTCCCTTGCCCTTTCCAACCTTTTCTTAAGAGAAAAGGATGGGAAGGTAAAGTGGATTTGACTGTGGAGGATATGCATAGGAAGGGGAAATGTCCACTTCATATGCATCTCCTCCTGTGTCAATTAAGGGTAGGCAATGCATCTGCAATTGCGGATGTTTATAAGCAGCGGTCGCTTTCCATTTCGGTGGATTCAGGTGGCCACTTGCTCATTTGCCACCTTATATTTAGAAAAAAAATTGGAGCTTTAAATGGGAATATCACATCTTGCTAAACAATATTGTATTATTCAAATTTCACCAATTAGCAGATATAAAATTAAATTATAACTTACCAACATTAAGGAATCCATGTGTAACACGACACCATACAACCTGACTATGTTAGGATGCTCAATACTGTGCATAACAGCGGCTTCTTTCAGGAATTCTGATGAATTTGAGGTCATGCGTTCATGGCCCAAGCATTTTATAGCTACATGCAGCTAAAACATTTGGGTAAATAGAAATAGAACTAATCTGAGAAGACAGCTGTGCCCTGTCTCAGCATAGTCAAACATGAACAAAACATCAAAATTAATACACAATACATTACATTAGTGGTATTCTGAGATAGAACTACACAGGAAAGGATATATTTAATATGATAATTTGTTTAAATTACATTTAATAGAAATATGAAACTTACTCTTTGATTATTGGTGGTCCAAGTACCCTGTTGCACCACTCCAAACTGGCCCATACCTAGTTCTTTACTGATATTTATATCTTCAATGGATATTATGTGTTTGGTTGGTACTTTAACATTTTCTGGGAATGATTGAAAGTCACTCGTATTGGAACTTTGGCCATGACCAAGGCTCATCTGTAACATAAAAGGAAATCTTCTGTTCATAATTGCTGTTAAACAAATTGCTGTCTCATCTAATAAAAACACATCAAAACTTACTGGCTCACTTATTCCGAGGGCTGCTAAAATTTGTTTAATTTTTTTTAAATATGGATTTGGAAAATATAGGGAATACAGTTCCCTATATCGCCTCAGCTCCGGTTTCGAAAGTCCAAGTTGATGCAAGTCACCATTTAAGACAAACTTTAACTGTGAAACTTTGGTCACCTTAAGTACATCTCTAAAAAGAAAATTAGAAGTTTAACAATAATTACGGACAAGATGAGTCATGAAGCATTGATTGTTTTCTACAATAAATGTATGCAGTTATAATGTCTGTGGCTCAATAACTAAATTAGCAGCTAATAACATAATGGATTATGGGAGCTGACAAGCCCTTACCGTTGGGAAAATGTAGAAACTAATACATTAATTTTTAATGTAAGTTATTTTATTAACCAAAACATTTTTAACACAACAATATAGTGTTTTTACTTAGTTGATTTACCTTCTATGTAAACATTTTCAATCTTATGACAACACTTTATTCCAAAATAAAGGCCCCTGAGGGCTTTCAAATTCACCTTACTTTGTTGTCTTAATATCCCCATTATATTTACATTAGCAAGGTTTTCATTTCGAACAAGGGATAGTGATCTCTCTTTGAATTGTATCAATATGTATAAGTTAAAGGATTCTTACACTAATTATTATTAGATAGAATATATTTCAAAAGTATAAGACCTGTACAACAAAATACGAAAAAATTGCCATGACACTCATAACTAAAATTAGAAATGCATGCAGAAAAATGGGTTTTTAGAGTTTGTCTACCTGAACTTCTCATAGTAGTGTTGAAGTTCTGCCTGTCGGAGAAATATTTTTAAATTCTCTTGATCTTCCACTGTGTTTTCTAAAATGGAAACGTACTGTTTAAGTATATTTAAAAAGTCTTGCTTAATATTTGTTTCGAATAACTCACCCATAATCAGAACTTTCAGATTAAGCAACGTACTAAACACAATTTGTTTCAATATTTTTTAAATAACAAACATTACACATACAAATTAAGCTATGTTTATGGTTTAGACAATTTATAAAGGCAAATCTGGATGTACGTCAACCACCAAACTACCAACAAAACAATAAAAAAGGCACTAAAGCGTGATACCAACACTGTAGCATGGAACCAACTAGGGTTGTACGGAACTCAGCTTCCGCAACCGCAAGTTCGGATCTTCCGCAAGAAATTATAACTCAGATTCCGCTTCCGTTATTTCTTATGCGGAGTTTTAACGTAGGTTAATTCACGTCTTTAACGCAAGGGGGCGACTAGTTGTGCGAATCGTTTAAAAAAAGAAAAAAACTACATGCATATTCCCTTTTCATGTTTTATTGTTGACCTCCGCTTCCTTCCAACCCTAGTCCCAACACTATAGCATGGTACCAACACTGTACTCAATCCATAGATAATTCATAATAACTAGAGATAGAGACTTAACCAAACTACTGTACCAACCTACCTATTTAAGTTTTATGGATTGTATGCATCGACATGTTTTGGTTTATTTTTTACTTAACACATATTTTACACTTTTCGAGTTTTTAAGGGGGGATGCCGACTCCTTCCCCCAGTTGAAGCCTATGCCTCAGTACCATACTCAAGGTTTTGTTCGGGTTTGTGAGGAATTCAAGGACTCTCCGCATTTCGGGCATTTACAGTAACATATACTTATATACTAAAAGTCAACCTTAATAGCTTGAGATTTGGGTTAATTTTACTATGTTAAATCACTGATCGCTATTGTATTAGAGGTCAGTGGGTCAATGTGTTCAAAGTCCTTGCGGTTTATACACTGTGCTGTGTCGGTGACGCCAACAGATGTGCATATTTGTAATCTGTGCGTATGTAACATGAATATAAAAGTAAGGGATGTTTTGAAGGCATGCCGTATTTAATTCACGGAAGCTCGTCGCATGGTCTGAACCGTGGTGGCTTGTAATGGAATTGCTGAATGCAGCAAGAAATGCAAGAGTTTTAAGCAACAGGATCGAAACTTGAAAACAGGATAACCTTATTTCGCGTTAGTTTGATTCATTATTATGTAATGCAGTGTATCATTAAGCTTAAATTAGTTTTAAGTCCGTTGTAGTTGTAATTGTAACTTGAATAAAAAAAAGTTATTGATATCTTTTAATATTTTAATGATTATTTGTGTTACATCTAAAAAAAAGAAAAAACATACAAGCGAATTGAGTACCTCCTTCTTTTGGGAAGTCGGTCAAAAAAGGAGATTCAAAATTGTATTATCAAAGTTTATGAAATAAAATGATTTATTGATATCTACTTATTTTTATAGAAATCCATTTTAAGATGTCATAAAAAATAAAAGTTTAGAAACACTTTCGATTTCAATTAAAAAATAGTTATGTTATTAAATTCATTTAGCAATGAAATAAAAGTCTCCATCAGGTCGTTTTTTTAAACATTTTCAATTACAAATATGAATAACTTACTTATTAAAATGCAATATATTACATTATATTTATACATATTCAACTTAGTGTACACAGGCTCATTCACAAGTATTATAAATTATTAGTTACATTTTAAACTTTTCTTCACAACATGGCTTCAAATTTTTATTGTAATTCTCGATTTATAAATGTCATCTTAGTTTGCTTCTTAGAATTTATTTATAAGTTTATGCATGTAGTTTAATATTACTCAAGTCTATGAAACTATTTTAATGCAACAATTACATCAAACCTTTTTGAGGCATGCACAAATACTTTAATAGATATCAATGATATTTGCATAAGAACATTTTAAACAAGAAGCACAGTAAACTTATGCAAAGTATTAGTGGATATGGTTAATAAGTTTATTATTTATTTATTTATTACAATTACAAGGAATCTATTCCCTATACTCGATATAACAAATTTCAAATTCATAGTCATTGGAACTTTCATTTCCTTCCTGCATCATTAGTTCAAATCTTTCGGCATACTTTTCCAATTGCTTCGCAACTTCTTGGTTTGCTTCTTTCAATATTTTTATTAAGCCATTGGCATGTTTCCAATCATATTGTGTCATATAGGTTATTGCAGTTCCTCGTTTTTCAGCTCTACCTGTCCTGCCAATTCTCTGTACATAATCTTCAAGGGTACGCGGAAAGCTATAATTTATGACATGTGTCAAGTCTTTTAAGTCAATCCCTCTGGAGGCTATATCTGTAGCCAGTAATATCTTAGTAGGACCTTGTAATATTGTGTTGAAGGCAGCTTCACGTTGTTTTTGGGCTAATCCACTATGCAAAGTGAGGTGTTTTATCCTTCTCGCTGCTAATTCTTTGGTGACATGTGAGATAGCATTTTTATTTTTACAAAAGACAATAACTTTGTCAGTTGGACTCATATTACTTATGAAAGTTAACAGGGCTTTGTCTTTTTCACCATCTCCAACAAACCTAATTGTCTGCCTTACGGTACGGACAGTAGCCAGCTCCAAGGAACCTACAGTGATTTCTGTTGTGTTCCTAATAAAATCATGTATGTAGGTCCTAACCCTTGGTAGCCATGTAGCAGAAAGCAATACCCGTTGATGATCCGGTCGGGCACTGTACAATGACGAACATACTACTCCCGCAAGCTTGGTATCAAACAATCTGTCTGCTTCATCAAAAACAATATAGGTAAAGTTGTTAGCATACAAATACCCTGAACAAATTAAGGTTTTGAAACGACCAGGAGTGGCTACAACTATATCAACTCCTTTATTAATAACTTGTATTTGTCCATATCGGTTTATTCCACCATACAGACATACAGATTTAATATCTTTATCTTTAAAGTTACAAATAATTCTGTGGGTTTGAATGGCAAGTTCTTTTCCAGGTACTAAAATGAGTACAAGAGGAACTCGCCTCTCTTCTTTTGGCCTGATTTGGACTCCAATGTGGATCAAAGCGGGTAATAAGTAAGCCAGTGTTTTACCTGTACCATTCGGTGCAGTTGCTATCAAATCTTCTCCTCCTAAAAGGATTGGCCAGGCTTGACTTTGAATTGGTGTAGGTTTTTTAAAACCAAGCTTTTCTATTTTTTCCATTATTTCTGGATAGTTCTTAAAGACATGTTCAAAAGATAACACTGGGTTAGGTATTGGTTTTAAATCTGGTTGTTGTTCTGGTGTTAAATTAGACTTGTTATCAATGGTTCTCCACACTTGCATATCAAAGTTTTCTCGTCTCCATTCTGCCGCCTGGCTAGTCGACATATTGCTCACTTGTGGATCTTCCATGTAAACACATTTCACAATTGGTGGTAATTGTGCCCATTTTCTTGGGTCTTTGGTATAACTGTCATCTAATGTTTTGTGCCGGTCATCGAGTTTACAACTTGCTTCATTTTTTGACATAGAACTGGTTGTTGCTACTTGGTCGTTATCCGACTTTTTATGAGTGCTTTCTCTTTTGACTGTGCTATCCACTTCTGACGATTCAGCCTTACTTTCTTGATCTTGATTGTTTCCTGATCTTCCTGATCTGATACCTGATTGAATCAAGGCAGATTCTGGATCTTTTTCCCATTGATGTTTAGAGTCAGACATTTTTTCAGAATTCAGTGGGTAATATTTTTAATTATAGAAAATTGAACTATTATTAGTTTTTAATATTCTCCAAACACAACAATTCTCAAACAACAACTACTAAACCAGGCAGTTATTATTACTGTTTTAACATTTCACCTTTTGATTTTGTGATTTCAAATATACAAGAGTAAAGAACTATTAATCAATATGACGCAGGTGCGTTTAAAATTTATCGCGTCGGCGCCCTCATCACGTATGTATTGATTTTTGCAAGAGTTGCCTGATCACTACAGTTCGAAAACATCTTGTGATACTAGGATATTGACATAAAAACAAACAGAGCCACAACAATGTCTATTTCAACAGGTGGATGAAAGATGGTAAATTAAAAATCTCGCCCTTACATAGACATTTTCGTCTGGTTTTTTGATTGAATTCGCTTTTTATGACTATTAAGTAAAAAAAAAAAACATAATGAAAGTTTAGATGAATGGATGGATGTAATTTATTAGAATTAGTAGCCTTATCGGCTGAACGGAACTTGATGATATTTAGCATAGCTGTAGGGTCTATAGTCTCCTTTCATCCCAGAAATAGTTGCGGCCCCAGAGGGCTACATTAATTTTGTTTTTTCACGTTTACTTGATAATTCTGCAACGGTTCAACATGTATGGCCCATATATAAAACAAAGTTTGGAGTAACACATATGATACGGTTCATCCCCGACAAATGTGTTTTCTCACGGATACTTAGGTATTTGTTTTTCAAAGTTCGAATGTTATTTTTTATTACGTGGCGACGAAATCGGAGAAGAATGAATAAAGTTTTTTGTTACTAAGATTGGCACCCACAAATATACAGATAAAAAGCAGCAACGGGTTACTAATGTTATACTACGATGACGAAGGTGTACGTAAAAAAAATAAACAGATATAAAAGTATTGAAGAATCTATCGCAAGATATTTCGCCTATGGGTATTTCATATGTCAAATTTAGTTTTTGGTTCGCCACTGCCCTTAACCATAAACAAACTACAAGTTATAGTCGTGAATTCTAAAACATTTGCAACATTTTTTGTCATACTTGCGCTCGTGGAGATCCTTTTAAGTGTGAGTAAATTATTAAAGGTCTATACGCGCCTCACGCCGATCTCACGTATGGGCGGGAAGGTGTCTCTTGGTTTTGAAACTAGTCGGTACTTGCATGGGACTACACGTGAGCTAAGTAGTGATTTTTAGTTAGTGTAGCACCACACCTTATTCAGAAAACTTGGTATGTAAAAAAGGTAAACTAAAACAGTAAAATGTTTGAGAGAAGAAAGATTTAATAAATAGATACAATAATTGTTTTCTTAAACAGTATCTGAACCTTAAGATCGATTATTAAGAAAATTATAATAGACAGGAATTACAAATTGACGAAACAATCAAATTGTCAAGTCAAAATCTACATTTCAAACATGCAATTTTTCTGTTGCACAAAACTTAAAGGGGTGCTATTTTATCATTGAAGTTACTTATTCGGAACAATTTGATATTGAAATATGTAGCGAAGCAAATTTTAATTACACAATATAAACTATAAAATAAAGCGACATGATATGTTTCACACAACAATATTTTTTCAATAACACTAATGTAAGGAGCATTGCAACGATTTCGATGTTTTCATAAATGTATAATTAACATTGTTTAATACAATTTAGGTTTCACTATTTTTGTAAAATGGATTCTACAAAACTTTGTATAAATGGTAAGTCGGGCTTCTGGTGTTCGATATTTGTTACAGGGAGGTAGAGGTAGGGCATTGCCTTATGTCTGAAATTATTAAGATGGCCTTATTAGGCCATCCATCTTATTAGATCTTAATCTAATTGACAAATAGTTGTCTTATAATGCTTTGAATTTTCAATCTAACAACCAACACTTACACATTTTTTTTTTTAAATATAATTTAACATGATTTCTTGAATTAATGCTACACATAAGCACATTTTATGATGATTTGTAATCAAGTTACATCAACGGAAAATCAATTTTAAAATCGTATCGATTTTCAGTTGATCGAAAGTAACAGCATAGTCAAATATGAACATATCGGAAGTTAATAAAAGTATGCAGGGAGAGGTGAATATCCTTTTCGGTGTAAATAGCACCCTGGTGTTTATGACAATATAAAACAATAGAGCACTTATACATGGCATATTCATTAACAAATAATGTAAACCATAAGGTGTTACAAAATTTAAAACATAATATATAAGAATCCTTTTAATGCGAGAAGACCTTAGGCACCATATAAGATTCAAGTGTTGATAAAGTAGAGTGAGGAAAGTTACAGAAGGTATCACAAGCAAGTGGGAAGATCAAAACTGTGTACAACTAGATGTAACAATATCCGTTAACCTGGATTGAAAAAGGGATAAATTTACAGATTATAATAGATGAATCTAGTCACCAACATTAGAACAAGTATTTGAAAGCTTTCTAAGTATAATGTTTGTAAAAATTAGCACCCATATAATGCTAGCAATAAACTAGTGGTGGTGCTTCTAAATATTCTAGTACACTTTTAAACAATATGAAAACTGGTATCATTTCTTCATATATTGTGTTCAGTATTCTTGTTACATTTTTAGTGGTGCAAGCCTGGTAATTTGTTGATAGCGGCTGTGTTACATATTCTGAAGCACAATCCAGTTTTCATTGAACAGCGGGCATGTTATATAGTATACACGTACATACAAATGTTTACAAATATACAAATATATATACGCGTACGTTTAAGGCACTAGGTGATTCGCTTTTACAATACTCGATGTTTTTTATTAAAATTTACCATCATTCCTCCACTTTATTGTATAAATGAAGTGGTCTGAGGTAGTGACAATTTAAAAAGCCTGACTATTTACTATCACGTTTATGGCTACAACTTTATGGAGAGAGGTATTTAAGGTATGTGTCGCTAAGATTTTTACGACGGTTTTCCGTATCAGCCGACGATAAATTCGCAGGCGAGATAGTATTTGCTATTCGCCAGACGAGTCGAAGCACTGAACGTTTTAAGCATTGCGTTAAAACGAATCACCCTAAGCTGTCGAACTGTTCGATTTAATAATCTCTATATTTATCATAAATTGTACAGGTACATATGGCTTACAATTACCAAAACTTGTTCTAATTGAATATCATGGTCAACAAGAACAATGCGCAGGGCATCTGGTCTTAAATTCTTTGAGGTATTTACTTCGTTGGTGAGTAGTTGGTATACATTGACTAATCCCCTAAAATTCATAAAATTTTTCATTTGAACATTTAACAATTTTTACGCTGTTTAAAATTATCTATTAAAATATTAATATCTTTTACATTACAACAGTACATTGAGATAAAACATATTGCTATCCTAAAAGCAATGTTTATATATAACGCATATGGGATTGGGCATACGCCCAATAAATACATCATGCTTAAAATATTTCATCCATTCCCATACATTAGCTATTTAACAGTTTCTCTATCAAAAAGAAAGCATTGTATAATTTAGAACAGATGTACATTTTAACAACTTCTTTAATTAGCCTCACACTTTTACAATATCATTACATGTCGTTGAATTAATTGTGCGGAAAAAAAAAAGGATTGTGCATCAATTACGTTGTATATAACAAAAACAGAGTCGTTTACAGATCCATTTTTGTACAAATGATATTTTTGTTTTAAATACTTATTGTCAGATTTTATAACACTATATATATTAAAAAAGCCGTGGATACTTAAAAATTAAAATTGATCCGTAATACATAGAACCTAATCACAGCATAACTATTGCTTTCCAGATGATACATACAAAACCTTTCAGAACTCTGACTAGGGCTTTACAATCATCTTGTAAATCGTATTAAAATTTAATAAAAACTGCCTGCGTAAGATAGGGTTTAAAAATGTAATTACATACTAAAAGGTTAAATAATATTAAACGAACTATTCCTAAACTACATGTAAATATGTAAGAAGTAAATGATAGTTAAACTAATTCTCACATTTAGATATCATAATAAAATTCACTGATTTTGTTTGATAGCGAAGAACCGGTAGAACTGACAAGCTTAGTGTTAAGTATTAGTTTTAATATGCAGTATATGAGGAAAATTTATTTGAATATATTAGAAGAACCCTTATTAAGTTAACGATATATAATATTTCCATAGTTAACAGCAAGGGAAGGCTATTAACTTCGATCAAAATTCATATTACATATTCCAAAGGTTTAAATACTCGGAGAGGATTTTACAAAGTAACACACAAAATACACGTTAAGCACTCATTTTATGACGGATTTTTTTAGCAAGTACACAAGATGCTATGAGTTTTTAAGATAGTTCTTTTTAAATATGGCAAGTGATGAATTTTGAGTTAGTACAAAATAATCGCTACTATTTTCTCTTGTATAGATTTTATGCATGAACGTTGTCGTTACATATTCATATAAAGCGTACACCTATGTTTTTAAACCTTTAAAATATTACACTTAAAATTAATAGCTACGCCTTAGATATGGTACACTCAGATATGCAATCTTACAATTTAGAATATAATCCATTAATGAAATTCCTAGCGAAACTAGACACTCGAGAAGACAACGTTTTCAAATGCGACATAAAATAACTCGAGAATTCGCTGTCTCTCAAAAGCATAGGTATATATTTCGCATGAGCCTCCTTATTTTTTTACTTACATATTATGTATATTCGATGTTTGAAAGCTAGCTACCTGAAAACAGCCACATTAAGGCGTCCCATAGTCACGTTACCAACTTTCTAGTTCAATATGTTTTGGGCTTAAACATGAAGTCAGATTTGTACAAAAATACCAGAAAAAGTTAAAGACTTGATCAATAAATATTTGCAAGAGATTAGTTTCGTGAAATAATAGTGACATTGAGATAATATTATTAAATAGATTAAGATTTTAAAGAAATTATATTTTATCTTATAATATTGTACAATATTGTTGGTAAGCACACCAATACCTTTTGTTTATGTGGTACATTCAAGCATGAATACTATGTGGTTAATAAAATTATATAGTTGCCAAAATCCAGAAAGAATAGGTGCATTTTTATGCTTTTATAGTAACATAGTTAACTTCGAATAGGACAGATTACAAAACTTATATCCAAAAAGAAAAAAAAAGTGTCAAAGTTCTTAAATCTTATGCAGAAACGACCTAGGTAATTATTTTGCTGGTGTTTTGTCCACATGACTTATTTCTGTTATACATTCTCAAACAAAAAGGGCTAATTGTACATATTAGTGTTATTTATATTACATGTACTTTTGTAATAAATTAAACTCGCTTAGTTCTTTTCGCTCCGAGATTCCGACGGACTTGGTCCGTTGATATTCAGCACTACACTATACAAGGAATTTATAATATACGCTTCTCCTATCTTGTCTTTTACAATTACAAAGAAAACGATTCCAATACTTTTGTACTTTTCCATTGAATCTACGTTTAACTTTATATTTAGCCCATTTTATGTTCTAACGTCACACATTTACGTCAAATAACAGCTTTTCATATTGATTATTAAAATATTGAATTACTTAATTTTAACAGATTACTCTTTTGTACGTAGGTAATCTAAAACATTATTTCTAATCGTAATTGTAATCAGATCTTTATGTTCTAAATGTGATTTAGAGAGTTTTAATTATTAACATATCGATGAAGCTATGTATTTGTAACCTATAGCATTGATGTTTATTTAATAATGTCTAGATACAATAAATTGAATAACAGAGATAGGTATAGGTGAAAATATGTTATCGCAACGACCGTAATAAGAGAGGTTATCAATAAATTTTAAGGTTCACTTATTTGATTGATAAACTCGATTTTACAATCATTTATAAGAGCTAGTAGCGAATTTATGATTTGAGGACAAGACGATTAAGGATTGCAACTATGTACTTAATAATAGTGAAAAATTAAATGTACCATAGTAATGAAAAACTAGTAGCGTTGTTATTGTCCTGATGTCTGGTTGTACAAGCGTAAAGCATAACATTTGTTTTCTACGTCATTAGAGGTGCGTTAAGATGTAAAGTTTTTTTTTATAAATATAAATAACCGAGAAGACAAGGAATACAGCTTTTCTTAGTGTTAAGGCACAACACGGAAGAAAGACAAATGGGAGAGATAATCTTAATTCTACAAATTTGAGGAAAGACTAAGTTGTGAGAATTAATTACTCAAGTAATGTGAGATTTTCCGGACTAAACTTTGGCAAATTCGAGTGAAAATATTAATGGAAAGGGTGCTTTTAAAGAACCTATGAGGAAGAACAGTGAAAAGGATTTGCTACTTCTTTACTTTCGAATGTATCTGCCTTACAACACTAAACTCAGTATGTAAACTAAAACTATGTTACTGGAACGCTAGTTTCACACGAGGGCATAATCGTGATGCAGAGCAGTAGACAGTGCAGTATTGCTATTTTATCTGTGTCTTGTCTTCGTGTGAAACTCATGTAAGATTCTTGGGGAGAGGCAATTTATCACATATTCGATTGTTAACCCAAGAAATGGTTACAAATTACAAAAATTGATTCTTAATCATCCATTCTAAATATTTTTCTGTAACATCTAAAACAATTAAATGAACCTATCAAATATTGTCAATTTTAAATACAATTTAACTATCTATAAATAGCCCTTGCGTTTTGAATAACAATACAATAAGACAACGGGTATATTGTAAAAGGTATAACTACAACACATATTGAATAAACTGGTATAGACAGCCAAGCAACAGGACAAGTCCCGTACAAGTCACATGCGGGGAAACTCTTAGCCGGGCACTAGCTTATAGAAGCATGATAAGTGATAATGTACAGATTAGGTACTATTTATAAGGTCAAATGTCCGTGTTTGTGACCGCGATATTAATATCTGGCGTATCACTCTGATTGTGGATCGCATTGCAGTAACCGGACAATAGAGGGGTCACTCTTAGCCCCCTCTATGAACTCCTCGAGGGAAAGCTTCCCGTCGTTGTTTGTGTCCATCTGACGGAAGATTTTGTCCGTCCTCTTCTCCGGTGTTGATTCGTCCTCTGGCATCTTCATAACTGATCCCACCATTTTATAAATTGCCTGGAATGTATTAAATATAATTTTAATAATAGTACTAATAAATCGTCTAACTTCGTCTATAATTAACAATGGTATTACTTTTTCTTTTAATAAAACTGTTCAATGATTATCTTAAACGTTAAATGTAATCTTATTTTAAAGTGGATTTTTTTATCCTTACAATCATAGAACAGTCGATTTAAAGTCAGATCATTTTTGATTTAATTAAAGTCGCAAGTTCAACACTTTAAGATAAAGAAAAGATTCTGTCAGGAAAAATATTAAACTGTCAGCAGAATAGAATCCGGCAGCTCTTTACCGAACGCTTCTACGTTGAGCTAACTCTAATTCCTTATTTGTCGACGTTATAAATCCGCTCTTAAAGTGTATAAAAGAATCATGAAAAGTTTAATGGAATGAAATTTCATTTCGTATAAATTTTTTTCGCATGCGTCATGAATATCTATTCACGCTTGCGAGAGCATGAAATAAAAGAAATTGGATCGTGCACCTTTATCAAGATTCACCGTCACGTTCAAATGCTGACGAGTAATAGTTTAACGGGTCTGACCCATTAGATTGAAAGCATTGTCAACAAAAGTTTGCGTTATTCCTTTATCATTTTTTTGCGAATTCATTTGATTACAAAATAAAACAAAATCTATGTGCATATCTTACTCGAGGAAATGTATCCGCGAACTTTGTGATACATGTAAATGTTGAAATTTTTCAAACTATTGCTTACTTTACATAAATGTATGCCAGAACTTTAACATTTTTCATGAATTATTCAAGCTTATTGGCAAACACAGTCTTCACAAGATAAGACTACGATACTACCAGATTACAAACTCAGTTAGATGAGTCTAGTGGAGTTGAGATGTAGCCAGAAAGAGATAATGAATGTTTTTATCAATGCAGTGGAATTGCGATCTTTACGAAATACAATGATAGGATTAGAAATAGAATATTCTGTTAGGGAAGAATGTTGTTTTAAAGAGAATGTTTGAGTAGAGTTGAAAAATGCACGCGTAAGTTGATTTGAATCACGTTAAAAGGATGAATAGAAGGAGATTAACGAAGGACATATATTGCGTGAAAGTAAGTGGCAGTGTTTGTTGCAGCCTTCGTAGACGTACTTATACCGTCCAGATTGATGAAATATTTAAGTAGGTATTGCTTCCGAAATTTTGCATGTATTAATGAACTAAAACCGAGAGAGGTGTATTGGGACCACGCCATATGGGTATCGGTGGTCCCTACCTACCCCTCCAGGTTATGGTTGAGTTATGTTGTGGTATATTAGCTGACGATGATAGTTTTGTATGGTAATATTCAATGATTTGAAAGTATGAGTATTGTTTAAAATTTACAATGTTCAATGTTTATCGATGAAAGAATTAAGTTTGTTAGAAACAGGATATTAGGTCAGTGAAAGTGGATATTTAATTTGACTAGAAACTCTATACCACAGCGAGAGCAATTCCTTTTAAATTAAATTATACAAGATTATTGAAATAAAATCTCCAAATCCAAATTGCTCTTAATTAATTGAATGAAGATCCATTTAGAAATGTTATAAGAATATAAATAAGAAGCTTAAATGGTAAGCGTTTGTTTGTTATTACGTAATTGCTCATTAAATAGACGATAAATTGTTAATCGTATTACTGAAATAAGCCCTGATATTATACAAGGAAAATCGTTCTATTCTGCGAAAATGTTTTTCGTATTTCAACGAGAATTTAAGATACAAAAGAAATACGTTATCTTATGATATTTCTTTTGTAATACCTTGCGTAGGTGTACAAATAACTTCAGATAATTATGTAAGTAAAAGAACATTCAACATTTTTAAACTATTGACCAAGTATCTTTTTCGGACTAGTGACCAGTAACCACTTATCGCATTGTGCAGTATAAATTTTTTTCAAAAGCATACTATGCTCTTTGTGTTCCAATTGAATACATAAGCAAGATGCAGATTAAACTAACTGTCAACAGGAAATTGGATTGGATAAGACTCAATTCTCGGAGTCCAATCTTATGAATACTTTATAATTTGATTCAGACTCAAATCAAATTGATGTTGCCACGTTCATGAGACTATTCAATGCTAGCTAACATGATCACTTAGTAAACACGCAACGAACTAGTCAGTGACGTGCGCGTCCTTCAAGTTAATCTAAGCTGCGGTCTGAGGCACCGCTCCCTGGTGCTGCTCGTTTTACAAACACTACCACTGCTCTACTCATAATATTATGAATTAGTATTACTCCTTAGTCACAATTAAAACAATTCATTCATAATTAATTAAACCTATTAGAAACTTTACATTAACGTGTTACGCTTGGAAAACATGTTCAGTTCTTTTTTTTTCGTTTTTACTGATATACAATAAAACAAAAGAAATATCATTAAAAACTAAAGTCGAGTGGTGCCAACTTAAGCATATTGCCACAATCTTACCTATAATATTATAAATGCGAAAGTTTAAATGGATGGATAGATGTTTTTTTAGAGTTTAAAGCCTAAACTGCTGAACGGATCTCGATGACATTTGGCATGGATGTAGAGGATTTTGAATACCACACGGACGGAGTCGCGGGGGAAAGCTAGTAAAGCTAAAAAAACAACAAAGTTCAATAACTTATAATTTATAAATAGTTAATCAGTGTTACTTACACTGACAATCTCGAGCATCTCCTGGCGGGATATGTAGCCGTTGCCGTCCAAATCGTACATCGAGAAGGCCCATTTGAGTTTCTGTTCAAGTTTGCCGCGCGACGTGACGCTAAGAGCACACAGGAACTCCCGGAAGTCTATAGTGCCGTCGCCGTTCGCGTCAAATGTCCGGAACACATGCTCTGCAAACTGCACACGAGACAAAACATCAAAAGATGTCTCTGACATAAGCTTACAATTGCTATTAAATTTATCAAAATATACGAGTACAAATATCAGTTTATAATATGCCGCGTCAAATTATTATCATCTGAACCTCACAATCTAGCGGCTACAGATATTTTGTATAATTAGTTGATGCCAATCTTAAATATCTAGCAAATTAGAAAGAAGACTGCCTTTTTTACATTAAAAATATAGTATAAGTGGATTTAAAAAGGGAATATATTTCCTCTTGATTATTTCATGCTTATTTTCCTCGAGGTTAAGGTCACAGTGCGGCCCTACGGACCCTTACGTATTAACCATAATCTAATTCTGTAATTAGATTGTGGTTGCGTCATATGGGACAGTATGGATTATTTGAAGAAGCTTAAGTGCTTCCAATTAAATTAACAGAATATAAGAGACGCATATGAGAGCTAAAAGTGGATTTATTGGAGAAACGATGAATAAGAAATATCCATTATAATGTTTATCCGCTACCTTCAGGTAAAAGTTACTTAACATCAGTTAACCTACTTACACGTTTACTGTCATATTCTACAAAAAAAAAACTTTTCTTATAACGTAAGACAGTAGATGTCTCCTAAAAGCTGGATGGATGACAGAATTCAATGGTTACATCGAAAAGAACTCGAGATAAAAATGTGACAAAAAGTGAAACTGACATATTTCCGCTGTTGATGCGGAAAAATATAAGATTATTTTTCTAAATGTCACAATAATTCTACCTTAGGGGAAGACATGTTACAATTTTAAACTCCATTTTGTGATATGAATTAAATATAAGGGTAAACATAAAATACGAAAGTTGATATATAAAGGTATAGTTGTAAGGAAATATCGTTTGCGGCATCTGAAAGGAGGTCAGTCATACTTGGCGCGGTCGACGTAGACAAATGCCTGGCGGGAAATGTGCTCTGATATCAACCTTGACCGGCACACAGCTTAGGACGATACTACGCTAGGATCGATAGAGGACCTGGCTCCGCTTATGAAATTTAATCTTACCTTACTAGCGTCCCCGTACGGAAAGAAGTTGCCGTATATTTTTTTAAATTCCTCAACAGATAAGTGGCCATTGGGACAATCCTTTAAAAAGCCTTTATACCATTCTTGTATTTCTGCATCTGTAACAAAGTAATGCTGTTAATTTTTCAATAAAATAAAGAAGTTTACTTGACCTTTGAAGAATAGAGGCAAAGCGTGTCAAGTTAAACTTTGATTATAATGCAACGCGATGTGCCCTACTCCACTGCGACAGATCGCAGAATTATACAATAAAAGAACGCTGCATTCGCGTTTGCCACTTTGAATTTCACATTATTAATACCACGTTAATGCGACGAAGCGTTAGATTCTTAATGCACGCATCGAACATACCCAAATTTTCAAAATTTCAACCTCAATTTCAAAATTGCAATATCTCGAAATCACCTTTTTTAGTTTGATCTTGAGTAACAATTAATTATTCAGATAGAAATATATTTACCTGAAAACTCAGTGTTCTGCTTCAGGTCTTCTAAGACCTCAGGCTTTAGTTTACTATTTTGTTTGCCCATTTTATTTATTTTCTTACTTTGTCTGCGTAAACTTCGCCAATACTTGCCGATGTCTTTCTATCGCGTTATTACCTTTAAACTTTGTACCCTACAACATAAGGGCCTAACATAAAGATATCTATGGAATTATAAAATCGCTTCTACTACTTGTACAAGAAAGCAACGAAGTAATTAATAGAAATAACAAAAAGACGAAATAATATAAAGTTACACGTGCAAGGATAGAAGTATATTAAATGATATAATTCGCATCGAATACACAGTTTGATAATAAAACATTTTACAAAAGCAGAAGCAAATATTTATGGTAAACTCTTATAGTTTTGTCAAGAAAGATCAAATGTACACGTAAGGTAAGTTTTGTTTTAATGTACAACAAAAAATGTATAGGTGTTTCTGAGAATGAATCAGGCATATTTCTATTTTATATAAAATTACAATACAAAACAGAAAATATACAAAGACTATGTTATTTTCTAACGTATAATGGTAAAGTTTTAATAGCTAATCTCTTTGACAAGTTGTTATCCAACGAGAGACCGATAGCGCTCTCTACTTCCTTCAGAGTTTATCTTGACTTCAAAAAATCTTCAATCGCCGCTAACGATGTTGCCGCAAAACTGAAAATACAGACAATCCCTTTACACAGAGCAGTTAAGTTTTAAATAGCTTAATCAATAAATGTTATCAAAGCTTAATCTAATACATGCTTCTGTATATTGTAAAATAAATTGCGCCTCAGCACTAGAAGTAACTTTTTGTATCTTTATGCATTATTGTGTAGTGGACAATTAAACAAAGTCAAATTTCACTATCCAAATTCTACCTAAGAATTTCGCGCACTATGCCTCAAATACAAGTTACGTACATCAGAATGAACTAAAGCAAATTTTACGTAAACAAACGACACAATAATGTCATATCTAAAGTGTCTACTGCTAATTTCAACTTATACAAATCATTCACGTCAATTCGTAGGTACATAATATAGAACGCCCAGCCTGGTTTATATATATTTTTTTAATTAGTTTGCTAACTTGGATCTTGTTAAAATAAAAACATTATTTAGGTTTGCAGCGATAGAAAACTATTGTTTGGAACGTAAACAATTAAAACCATGTTAAGTATGCGTTTCAAGGGAAAAAGAATTTTCGAAGAAATGTTAGGTCATTGTAATACTTCAAACGTTCCTAATTATCCCGGTTGGGTTTGCTCCCACATCTTATGTAACAACGAATAATAACAAAAATGCATTTGCTAACTCCCGAATGCCTTTCTCCGAAAAACGTTAAAAGCTCCATACTGGAAACTGTTACCGAAATTTTACCACAAATTACCTTCCGTCGATATATCTAAATCTCGCAAACCTATATTTAATTTATATAGGTTTGCCAGATATAGTGTATTCTGGTCCGTAAAAAAGTAATCTTAACCTTATACTTATCGCGATCTTGATTACGTTACCAAGGTTATGTGAAACTTTTAAGTATGTAAAGTATTTTTAACTTTTATTTATATTGTCAAAGGCAAAGTGAAAGTTTCTAAAAGTTTTCATAAAATGTAACCGAAACTAAATTTGTTTCAGTTTGTCTTAATTTAAAACTTGTGTTGTTTAAAAAGCGCGCGTATCACCTACTGTCGTTATTATATTTACTTAATTAAATTGACTTGACTTGACCTTTTAGTTTTATACTACCTTTAATCATTGTGTGATAAATAGAATTGGAGATACACATGTTTGAAAGTTTAATGCGCTCTCCCGTCAAATTTATGCCTTATAGTTTCCATATGTTTTAACAAAATGATACCAATTCCCTGTCTTAATTTTGTATTTATTATATATTTTTATTTAGCAGTATGTAAGTTATCTTTTTAATTTATAAAGCGCTACTACGACCCACATTGCGTGTTGGAATGAACTCCTACTTAATTTTTCTCTGTATTGCTGGTTTTTTAATAAGAACGAGTCGGTGATTGTGCAATCGATAAATCAGAAACAAAATATACTACTATTCACATTCGCCATTTAACAAAGCATTAATAAATTTCGCGTAATCAAGCAGAAAATCGCTTAGCAAGATGAGCTGGAAATCGCGTTGCAATTTGAGAGTCGTGTTTAGTTATTTAATTAGAGGTCAGATTATTACCTGAAGAAAGGCGCTGTATTTTTTTTAGAAAATGGTATTTACAGCGCAATAGAACATGTATCTCGTCAACCTTTGGAGTTAAGCTGGAAACAAAAAGTACTACAAATGTAGATACTTCTACATAAGAGGAAAATATACGGGTTCGTAATGCTGTCGCCCGCGTTTAATGAAATTAATTCCGAAGGAAGCTTTGTTACCCGCACAATTGGCAGCCGCCACGTCTAACTTCGCAACTTCAAAATTCAGTTTAGAGAGTACCGCTTCGGATGAAGAGATTTCGAATTATCACAACGGCATCATAGATACAATTTGTTTAGTTACCATTTAAACTTGTAATGTATACAGAAACTAAGAAATCTGCTAAATTCAATGGAAGAATATCTCATGGATTTACCCTAACTATTTTTGTTGAGAACGAAAACGAAGTTGAAACTAGATATAATAAATATTTTCGACACAAGTAAAAGTTTTTTTTTAATTTATTTATAGTTAAATTTTTTTAATTTAGTAATTGCAATATTTTAAACAAAATTATCGTTGCTATGAAATTACAACGAAATACTAACAAAGGTTAATTGTCAATTTCTAAAAATTATATCTGTAATATTTGTTTTTCATAATGTTTTACAATCGTACAAGTTGCGTATTACATATAATAAATAATGTTACGTTTTAATATTTCAGGCAAAAAACAGTTAGAAATTACATTTCAGTCTGGTGTAGAGAGATAAGCTTCGACGCCAGACGATCCGGTTGAAGCCTGTAAGCGGCACGTTCATTGAATCGTGGACAGCCGTGGGTAATATTGGGATTAAATACGATATAATAATTTATATCGTATTTATTTGACCCTCAACATAACAGCACAAACTACAATAATCACTCTTAGGGATGAACCTTAATTGCGTCTATTTAGTTAGTAACCAACTTAAAAAAAAAACCGGAAACTTGTAAAACGATTAAACAAAATATGTGAATAAAAACTTTAAGGAGACCAAAGTGCGTTAATGTTACAAAACTTACCTAAAAGCAAAAGTCACCACCACACAATTTAAAGTATAATCAGGGAAAACTCGCGATTTATTGAAAGACAGCCGTCGCCTAAGCCCGCAGGAGAGCGATTGTGAAAATCGTCCGCTCTCCCTGATATTTAAACGTTTGGAAACAAAAGCCTTCAAGGAATTATCCCGAACATCTCTACATACATTCGGCGTATCACATTATCTAGAAAATCGACGCGTGGATTTTATTAGTATTTGTTATTCAAATTTGCACACGCACGCTGTGACTATTGCTGATTTTTTTCTATTTGCTTTAGGATAGGTATAAAAGAAACAAGCCTTATTTTTAGATAAAACGAGAGGGGCAGGGGCCACACGAGCACAGTTTTTTTAGTGCTGTCATAGAAATGATGTGACACGGGCAAGTTTATTCAAGATAAGAACATTTTGTACGTGTGTCTTTATCTCATTGTATTTAAATTCAAATTTTGTGAATTGTCAATTACAAGGCCAAATTTAAGTTTTAAAGATATCCTAAAACGAGACCTATTGTGTCTTAACAAAAAAAAGACTATATGTAAACGCTTACACGTGCGAAAAAGAGTTCTCAAAACGAATATATATGTTTGTTCACATAGCTTTAATCTATCGATCGTCAGTGAAAATAAACTGCAACCGCTTTGAGGCTCTTGGAAAATAGAAAAGTTGGATAAAAATATCTTAACTATTTTCCCCTGTTCTTGTAAATGTCGACTGTGAAGTATATAATGATTTTATTATTAAAATAGAGCAAAAATAAAAATGAAACAACACTTTGCGTATATTTTAAAACTCGTTAAGAAAAGGTTAGAGGTTTTTATTTAGGTGATGTGGAAATTTATAAAAACGGTACATGTTTTTTTTTCATTTTTCAAACAGAATGAATGTGAAAATCGATAGTGCCATTGTTGTAATACTCATTATGATAGTGGAGACTCATCGTAAGTAAAATATATTTCCACCAAGCAATTCAAACCACCTTACGTCGGAACTTGAGCCAGAGTAATAACTAGAACGTTTTCAGTGCACTTGCTCTTTAAAGTAACGCACCTCGGTCAATAATCAAGTAAATTTAATCAAATGAAAGCCAAGGCACTTTTGATAACAAAATTAGTTAAAAACGTTGAGTGGATAGTGATAATATTAGAGTTGTCTCCATATAAAAACATTATTTCAACGTAAGGCTTATTGCGATGGGAATTCAATAAATGGAAAATGACTCAAGTTTAATTGCCATCGCACTTCATAGGCACGATGGGCTATCATTGTATTAAGTTATTACTTCTATTCCTGGCTTAGACTGCATATCGATATTAGTCACCATCGTACAATATGAGAAAATTGTGTTAACTAGTATTATCTTTACTGATCGAAATACAACCATATTTTTTAAACTTTGTTATACTTTATAAAAATTAAATGAAACTTACTCTAATTTAGTTTCCCGCTCCTACAACAATATGGAGAGGTATGTATTGTTAGAGATTAAGTTTGAAAGCAGTGAAGCTTTTAACTGCAACCGCTGTCCGGCTTAACTGTCAGGGACAGTAATTGAACAAAGGGATGCCTTAAACAATGATATTCAGTAAGAGGTATACAGTAAGTCGGCACATGCCGCATACCGACTTACTGTTTCATAGACTGAAAATAGACATCTATTTTCTTGTTAAAGGCTTATAACCAAACGGCAAAATTCAACTGATGTTTCTATAAGCCCTATGTCAAAGGACTCGAGGAAAATCGTAAAGCTCCTCGAGTATTCCGACGCAGTCGCTCTTTGATACTTCACACTATTGTGTGGAGGTTGAAGCGTCTCGCCAAGGTATTAACTATACCGCGAAAAGTAACAATCTTACATCCAGGAGAAATAAATAACAAAAATAACATTGACAACTACGAGTTGGAATAACTTTTTAGTGGGAGATACATAAAATTATTATATTTTATATAATAATTTTATTTTATATAATAATTTTATATGTATAAAGCAATATCTCATTCGAAAAAGATGGTATAAAATATTAATAGCCTAGGTTTTGGGGAATGGATAAAACGACTTTTATCGAAAAATTAATATTTGGCGAATGAATAGTATTTACTTAGTACTTTATGCCAAAAATACATCATCAGTAGGACAAGTTTCTTAAACATCATTAAGGGACCATTCTTCTAAGTTAATAATATTATTAAGAGACTAGCTGATGCCTACGACTTCATACCCTCAGAATTAAAAAAAATAGACCTCCAGACTATCATCTACGTCTATGCCAAATTTCATCAAGATCCGTTCAACCGTTTAGGCTACAATATCTAACAAATATCCATCCATCTAAACTTTCGCATTGATAATATTAGTGAGATAGTAAGAAGTAAGATATAAGTATAAGTATTAGTAAGAGTAAGAAGTAACATTAATAAGATTTACCAATAAATTTGCGGAGTAAGCGAACGATCTCATCATATGTCAGCATTTTTGTAATTGGTTTTCTCAAAGATAACACTTTCTTCTTTTGTTTGTATAGGCCTATATTGATATCGAGTGAAACGATTTATTTGATCATTATACAAAAAGTCACACTACAGAACAGATACGCATCACTGCGTTGACCTGGACATCTATCTTTCTAATACGAATCAGTATATTAAGAGTTGTGGAAGGAATATCTAGAATCTAGAAAAATATTTCATTTTTGCACTTGAATGAAGATCATTATAAAAATTCCTAATTGTTTAAAAACTTAAATGCAATGGTTATGAATCACAGCTCAATCTAAATTAGGTGGCAAACAAGCTGTTCACCCGCTGTTATAAATGGTTACCACAGTTCTCATAATTCCATTAACATAAACACTCGCCAAGTAAAGCCGATCACAAATCTACATTTCAAAAGATCCTGACAGGTTTTGTTCTTTTTCTTAACGTTCTTTTATGCAGTAACTACGTAGTTAAGAACTTCCTTGAATACCTATATCTAAAGTTGTCTTGCTATAGTGTCAGCACACTAAACATCTTATGAAATGAGTACGGACATACTATAGGGACAAACAAACGTCCTGTCCGAAGTTTGCATTTCTTTAGACTACTTGCTATATATCTTCTGGATATAAGATCCTTCTAATAGTGTCGCTCTTATTGATACCTGTCCTCTCAATAATTTACATATATTTGTCATGCCGTTAGCGCACCACCCGGCTTGATTTATACTCGTAAGGTAAAAAAATGGATTTACATCGAATTAATTCAGCAGTTGTAGAATTCATACATTTTTTACAAACAAATCACCATATTTTGCACTTGATTTATACCGTGGGAATATAACACGATTTTAGATTTAAAACGTTAAAGTAGTCACTTTTTAATTTTTCTGGTTCATTGTAAAATGGACTAATACGTGTGTTATTATGAGTTATTTGCGTAACAAACGTTTCTTACTAATATCGATTGTAAGCCATAAGACTGCAGTAGAGCTATTACTGCAGACATTTTGTTGAATGCGAAGCAATTAACATAATCGTCGCGTACTTTATTACCGTCAATTTTCTAAGACGCCGTGTTCAAGAAAATGTACATGTTGTAGCTTGAAACAAAGCCGGAAGGTTCGTGGAAAGTACTTTTTGGAGTTGAGCTCCATTTCATTAACAAAATAAAAGTATTAATTTTTTTCAATGTAACCTCTGTGGATGCTAAATAGCTTTAAATTAAGATAAAGAGCACATAAACTTTTATTTTCGCTTTTTGAAAAGAATGCTTTTATATGAATTGCACGCCTACCGCAGTGTTAAACATATCTAGGTGGCGGGACAATCTCGCGTAACGTAGCGGCTCTGCGTAAATATGGCTACTGCCAAAATTATGTTGAACTTTACATTTGGCACGCGTATGTGTGTCTGCGATACATGTTACGTTTTAACTACACAGCGTCATGAGCAAGTCACGGTAGTGAGCAGCATCCGAGCTGACTGCGGCTGGCCTGATTCCAGCTGCGACATACAACAAGGAGTGTTGGACTACAGTACCTCTTGAACCGTTTCTAATTCTGGCCC